GGTTGATATTTTGAAAGATGATATTAGCAGATTAATTTTCCACATTTTTTTAAATTTCTTTCCTTGGAAAAAGGTTTGTCCCTTCATCATTGTTCATATAGACAAACATGAATCCCAACGGATACTTAAAGCTGAACACTTCTCATAAATAGGCACAGTCAGACGGGTATATAAACCGTTCGCTTTAGTCTCGTCCGATTGCACACTCAAAACTCGTGGCCGACATGTAGTATTCCTATAGTGGATTTAGATTTTTTGCGTTTACTTCTTGTTTTTATGTGCATTTTCTGTTTGTAAATAAAGTATTGACCTGTAATTTTCATGATACTTTTGTCCTGTTTAGGAAAAAATACGTAAAATTTGATAATTTCATCGATATTGAGTAGTTATACTTTGTAAGATGTACGTCTGCATTCGTCGGATCTCTACAGTAAAATACATTGAACTGACTAGCGATTTGCTCCTTATACAGGTCCAGTACAATCTCTTTATTTAGCTATATAGCTTTAAATAGCTTTATAGCTTTATCAAGCTATTCAGTATAGCTTAATTTAGCTATTTTACTGTACTTTTTTCTCAAAGGTGTAATTTTCTCAGTATGTACAAAAAAGCGCACCTTGGTGCAGTGATGATATACAACTTTGAACTCTTCTTAAAATAATGCATGTAAAATTCACTCATCAAATTAGGTCTCCTTGAGAGACTTTGTAATCAAAGTTCTACAAGTTTTGGGGCTATATAAAGCAATTGATACAGTTACTTCTGCAATGATATTATAATGGAGACCAATTATGTTCAACAAGATAATTGGTTGGTAACAGTTCAGCACAATGAGAAGCAATCATGCCTCAAGGCACCCAAGGTAGTGAAATTCTCTTTTGCTTAAAAGTATTCAAAAGCTGCAAAGTTAGAACTATCTTTGATTTTGGTTGTTCTTTTGATAGCCCATAATACAAATATGAAGAGTCAAATACATGCGACTTTTTGTTTATTTTCAGCTAAAAACATTTTTGTGAAAAACTGTATAAAAATAGCTAAATAAAGCTATTTTCAATAGCTTAATAAAGCTATATAGCTATTTAAAGCTATATAGCTAAATCAGGAGATTGTACTGGACCTGTTATATACGAGTTGTAGGGAGAGCGTTGAAGAACGAGAAATATGGCGACTATGCCTATTTACGAGTAGTTTTCAGCTTTAATCGTACCGAGTTTGAGTGAAAATGATCCAGTGTGTGGATCTTGAGGATTTTAAAGTGTGTATTTTAAAAAAGTCTACAGACAAACAGACAACTAGACAGATGCTTGACAAAATGTGATCAGAAAAGCTTTTTTGAGCCTTTGGCTTTTGTGAGCTAGTAATGAGCTAATGATGAGTAAACTCCTTCTCAAACTTTTTTTTAGGGGGGGGGGGGGGCGTGCCACCAATCTCAACCCCCACCCCCTGACAATACCCACATCCCCAGATACCTGCAAGAATCTTAAAGATGATGTATATCAGTTCATTGTGCTACCTACATTGTAATTTGATAAATGTTTACAAGGCATGCATTGGTTCTGTGACTTGGCCATGTTGGTTTCACTTTAGGCCTAATGTTCAGCTAAAAAAATTCTAGCATTTCTTTTTTTTTTTACCTCAATCCTCTCGTCGGCTGCCCTACAAAACCGTCATCCGTGAAATCCATCCTCGTAGATAACACGAAAAATCCAGGAAAATCTGTGTGTATAAGCTCTGTAAATCGCAGTGTAATCTCGCCAAAGTCCAATATCAAGTGAATGAGTTCAGTTCACGTGGACAAAACCCCGCATAAAGCCTGCTGTGGTCACTGGTGCGTGAAATGTGTGAATAGTAGGGTAGACTGTGTATAAGAGACGTTGAAGGTTTTTCATGAATTTCTCATCTAAGGGCAGTGGGGAAAAGTCAAAATACAGCTATGCACCCACATGATTTTTCTCGGTATTTGCATATAAATTTAATTGACATCATACATAACATTTTACATGATTTAGAGAGCACAGGTACTTGTGGACAGTTTTATAACAGACAGTCGTGCACTCCCGATCCTTTTTTCATCGACGTACGGCAAAAACGAATATCTCGACTCCTTGCTGTAAATTTCACCACGAAAATTGAAAATTTCTTATATTTATTTACATATCAACAATAACATAAGAGCTTCATTGAAATTAATGCATGTAATACTAGTCAAAATTCTGTATTTGGTACTTGATAAATTATACGAGTCTTAAGCCCGGTTTACACGCTCTGCTTTTGCAGCTGTTTTTAAAATCTGCATTTTACATGCAAAGCAGACATAAAACACACTCTGCTTACCATCCTGCTTTCACTATATTAGCATATCATTTCCCGCCATTAGTCACATAAACACGTGTAAAAATCAAGATTTTGATATTTTGCCTCCTCTTTTAATAATCATTTGGCTGCTGCATTTTTAAGAAATAAAGGAAAATTGAAGGACATGCTGGACTAGACCATGGATTCTTGCAGAAAAGAGCATGGGGCACATCATGCACTTATGCATTTTCTAATTGCAAATTGAGAGTTACAGAATATATTTGTGAGAATGAAAAAACAATACTGGTATCTAGGTGTCACCTTTAATTGTTAAAAAGAAATTTTCAGAAAATCAATTTCTCCTGCAGAACGTCTTTCTTTTTCCTCTTATATATTCTTGCAACAGGTAAGAATAATGAATAAAAAGTAGCAAATTACAATTTTTATTTCACATATATTTTAAATTGTTGGATATTAAAATGCAATTTTGTAATTTTCAGGGGAAAGTTACAAGTCCATATCATACTTGTATCGTATTCCAGTGCCAACATTGTCTAGTATAATCCCTAGACGTGTGCTGCTATATACAATAGCCTAAAAGATGATTATATGAAGGTATGGTTAAAATTTAATATGAATGTATGATATTCATAGTTCAAGATACTGTTGACCCATTGGTAGGGGGCTAATTCCTTGATTGGTCAAAGGCTGAGAGTTCGTGCCCATTCCATTGTGTTGACCCATTGGTTGGGGGCTGATTACTTGATGGGTCAAAGGCTGAGAGTTTGCGCCCATTTCATTGTGTTGACCCATTGGGTGGGGGCTCATTCCTTGATTGGTCATAGGCTGGGGGCTTGCTACCACTCCTTGTTGCTGGCTCATTGATAGAGGACTCATTCCATATTGTGGATTAGTTGAGGATGGACTAGAAAATCCCAAAGTCCCTTGACCCTGCAAATGCCCATACTCTGCTTCAAAAAGAATGGTCTGAAATTTCAGTTTCACGAATGACTTCACCCGCCCATCTAATTTGCGCAGGGCTTCGGCTATATAATTCCCATAAAGGGTATCCTCATCGGGAGTGGGTGAAGGGGTGGCTGATCTTAAGCCGGTCCTTTTCCTGATGTCCTGTAGACATGACATGGCCTGAGACATTATAGCTTCTGGTCCATTTAGCCTTGCTCTTTTTTTTGTAGGACCTGGTCTCTCTTCTTGTGACGTCTCCGACATATTGTCGGTACTATCATCTTGCTCATCATCATCCTCCCCTGCATTATTTGTGTCCTATTAAAATATATATATATATTTATTATTTTAGGTTCCAAATTCATGGGAAGATTGGCAGAAAATAGCTAAAGAGTTTGAAGACAAGTGGAATTTTCCTAATTGCATTGGGGCCATGGATGGGAAACACATAGCAATTCAGTGTCCTCTAAAAAGTGGTTCAAATTATTACAATTATAAACAATTTTACAGCATAGTTTTATTGGCTTTGGTTGATGCTGATTACAAATTCATATATGTAGATTGTGGTTGCAATGGAAGAGTAAGTGATGGTGGTGTGTTTGCAAATTCAAGCCTATACCAAGCTTTGGAATCAAATGATCTTAATATTCCACCTAAAAAACCTTTACCACTGAGACATACACCTGTTCCATATGTCACTGTTGGGGATGAAGCATTTCCCTTAAAATCTTATATTATGAAACCATACTCCTTTAAAAATCTGGACCAAAACAAGAGAATTTTCAACTACAGGCTTTCAAGAGCAAGGCGAATAGTTGAAAATGTTTTTGGAATTTTAACAAGTAGATTTGGGGTATTTAAAAAGGCTATTCCTCTAGAACCAGAAAAAGTTGAGGGAATTGTTTTGGCATGCTGTGCACTGCATAACTTTCTAAGAACAAGGAAATCAGCCACAGAATATATAGGCCCAGGGATGATTGATGAGGAGGACACTGAGAATGGGACAATGAATTATGGGATTTGGAGACATGAAATGGGCACAAATCTACCCGGTCTTATTCGACAATGTGGGAATCGATCAAGTAATGATGTACGAGAAATAAGAGAAGAATTTTGTGACTATTTTAATACAAATGGTCAGGTTTCTTGGCAATGGGAATTGCTGTAACTTACAAGATTGGACTGTGATCCTCTGGGGACAATTTGTGTTTTCAAAAAGGCATCCAGGGACTTGAAATGAACCCATGAACTGGTGTAGAGTTCGTCTGTGCCAGAGCCACTCTTCCTGGACTTGTTTATTTTGGACAATTCCTTAGAATAGTATCCTCTGAGATAGGATATTTTGGCTTGTATTTGATTGACTGTAAATAAAAAATAAATACATTTACAAGTTCAAGTTGTTAAATATTTATTGTATATTCACCAAATAACAAATAGCATGATTCATAAGTTGAATAACATGTGACAGTGTGCTACAGAAAACAAAAACACTTACCATTACATTCCAGACCTTCATATTCCTCTCTCAGTTTTTCTAATATATTGCTTAATGCTCTTTGTCTGCAGTCCTTTTTGGAATAAGATGTAGATGAAACATTCCATAGGTCTGGTTCCTCATGAAATAACTCAATTAGTCATTCTTGTTGCTCAGTACTTAATTTTAATTCATCAATTCTCTTCTTACCCGCCATTTTCTTTGTTTTTGTTTAACATGTGTATATGCATCTTATCTCATATTTAGTTTTTCGGTGATGCTGATTGGTCAGTTACGTCTGCAAAGCAGACTGAAATAGAGCAAGTTCTATTCTGTCTGCTTGCATGCCTGCAGTGCATAAACCCTAGTTTACACAGTCTTCTTTTGCAGCTCTGCTTCAAAGCAGCTGCAAAAGCAGAGCGTGTAAACCGGGCTTTAAGGTAGTCCGATCCTCATGTTTATAAAATTAGCAGTTACATGTAAGTACTCAAAAAAGTATCTCTGAATTCACAAAGGTATGCATGTAAATTTATCCACCACAGTATTTCTTTTAAATTAAAAATCAGATTTAATCCTTTTTTTTAAGGGAAAATTGTCAAATCTCTAATATTTTTGCAGAAAAAGCAAATTAGAACATCAGCAATGCATTTTCTAATTGCAAATTGATTAACAAATATATTTTAGGTTAAAAAACAATAGGTATCTAGGCATTTAGAGAAATTTTCATGAATTTTATACTTATTTGGTATTTTGTCTTCTTTTTCCTTTATATATTCTATAATACATAGTGTAAAAGTTTTTACTATCATTGCAAGACACTACACAGTACTTCTCATTTCATATGCTAATAAGAATTGGCATCTAAGGCTAAATTCAAGAAAAATCTATTTTCTCTAAAACTGTATTAATTCTTTCTTGTTTGTTATGGTACAACTGTCAACTTTTGTTAGATCTTTAATAAGACTTCCAAAGACCTTAAATCTTATAAAAATGAATTCAATGAAAACTGTTGCATAAAAAATTCATTTTCAAGCATCATTTTTATGCATTTCAAATTAATTTTTGGAGTTATATCCTTCTGGCTGAGGATTGGATATTCTTAAAATTGACCCAAGAAATACAGGGGCGTAGCCAGGGTACCTTTGATGTAGCTGAAGATCTGTAGCGTTAGGGCACAGGCACCTGACGTTACTTATTTTTCTTGTAATAAAAAATATACACATACCTAATAATATTTATCAGATCTATTAGGTATGTGTTTCCTTTTTTTCTTACAAGAAAAATAAGTAACCACTTAGGTGCCTGTGCGTTAGGGTTTTATATATTTGTCTTTGACCATAACGCTACAGATCCGGTAGTGCAAAAAAGACTTTTTTAGTGCAATTTGCGGCGCAATATTTTTTGCGCTCTTTTGGGGGAGAATTTCTCCTTTTTCCAGCATCGGTCAATCAACTAGCTACTTTTCAACTCCTAAATTCTAGACACGGTATCTGTAGCGTTATGGTCAAAGACAAATACGTATATAAAACCATAACGCTACAGATCTGCAGCTACTTTTGATGTGGACACCCGAGTATACTGGAACTGTCAGAATATTTTTTTTTCCGTAGAGCTACAGTTCTGCAGCTGATTAAAAGTCTTCAAACCAGAATTGAAAAAACAAAAATAAATGTAAATAACATTAATTCAAAAAGCCACTTTTGTGTCACATGCATGTACAAGAGAATAAATTCAATCAAGGTCTAGATCTAATCATTTATTTCTCTTTTACCCCTTTGAAGCCTAAAAAATCTCATTTCTTGTTACAATACATATTTTAAAATATATGAGAAAGTCTTTTGCAATGTAGGGATATTTTCTTTTTTTCAAATCAAGTTTTACTATTAAAAATATTGTAACGTTCCCACAATAGTCTATTCTTAGAATGCATGCATGTTCAATATGAACATGTAAAAGAAGTTGAATTCCCCCCCCCCCCCCCCTCAAATTTGAGTTTTGTTGTCCTTATACTTTATTCACATACATGATGATACACTGTAAACAAAATAAATACTGTCAAAAAAATCGATAGGCGTTGGTCTTAATTGCCATTGCATTATTCATGTTAATAAATGATTGCTTCAAATGAGTAATTATTTGATTCTATAGTTTCTGCATATTTATGCATAAAAGCAAGTTATTTAATTATAAATTGAGGTAATATGTTTAACGATTTTTTTTTTATTAAAAAATTTTGGAAACAGTAAGCTAATTCATTTGGGTTTCACAAACATTCAGTTACCAATTAAGGTGGAATGCCACGCAAAATTTTTATCTTATAGATCTTTAAGTCATTTTAAACAGTGGTTTCAACATTGAAAGGCTATGGTTCAGCTTTCAGCCCTTGAAAGTAGTGGCCAACTTTTTCAAAGCCAACTTACTATCACTTCCAATTTTGTCCCTACAATTCTTGATAATACTATACTTTGGTAAAAGTGGGGGGGGGGGGGGGCAAGCATGCTTTCAATGAAAAAAGAAATGATTTCATGTCTCCTGTATGCAGATGACCTTGTTTTATTGTCCAATTCAAAATCAGATCTTCAATGTAAACTCAATCTTCTCCATGATTACTGTAGTGAGTGGTGTCTAGAAGTAAACATAAAAAAAACAAAGGTAATAATTTTTAATAACTCTGGTAAATTACTGAAGGAAGCATTCCAACTTGGTAATGACATTATAGAATGTGTAAAACAATATAAATATTTAGGGATAACTCTTGAAAACAATGGAAAGTTTACTGAAGCCAAAAAACAACTGTATCAGAAAAGTTTAAAGGCATGCTTTAAATTCTATAGGGATGTGAAAAATGCTAACCCCTCCTTAAAAACATTTTTACATATATTTGATCACTGTATTAAACCTATAGCTTTATATGGCTGTGAGAACTGGAGCATTATTAATGTTACTCCAAAAAGGAAAAATATCCCTCTTTTTGATATATTTAAAGATTGGGAAGTTGAAAAACTCAATATGAAATTCTGTAAATACATTATGGGTGTATCTAAATCTTGTACAAATGTAGGAATCTATTCTGAACTAGGGAGGTACCCATTATATATAGACATGTTAAAGCAAATATTCATGTACTGGTATAAACTAGAACATACATCATCTAACCTACTGAAAGCAGCTCTCAATGAGTGCAAATCAAACATCATCAACAGTGATTGGTACTCCAGTATATTATTCTACAGTGAAAAACTTAATATTAATTTGTCCCTTTGTAAAAAACTAAGTGAAAACAAATTTAAATTGTACATGAAAAGACAACTCAGTAATAGTTTTTTAAACATTTGGAACGATATTCGTACCAATTATTTGGAAGGCTTTGGTAAATTAAATACATATTTTAAGTATAAAAGGTCTTTTTATTTTGAAAAATACTTGAATATGAAAAATCGAGACAATCGGGTAATTCTCACAAAATTCAGAATTAGTAATCATTGTTTAAGGAGGCTGGTGGGTCAACAAATTAATCCCAAATTAGCCACCAGATTTGATTTAACTTTTTAGATACGGTATCTTTAGCTGTCAACTATCATTTGACAAAGAACAAATTCATACATTTTAGTTTTAAAATTTGATCATTTTTGTATATCTTTATATGGAGCTCTCCTTTTAAAGGAGATTGAAATAGTGTAAAAATGGCTGCCACCCCCCAGCCTCTTTAAGGGTGGAGACGGGTAGATATGAAAGGAAAATTAATAAATGTGGTAAAAATGAAATTCTTCCCAGGTGTGAGAGAATCTGTCGTTACTGCACCTCAAGTCCAACTGAGGATGAATTACATTTTTTGCTAGAATGTTCACTTTATAATGACTCAAGAAGAGAGTTTTTAGATAAAATCTTTAAAACCTTTCCTAATTTGATACTGCTTAACAATGTTGACCTGTTTACATGGATTATGTCAAATGAAGATTCTGAGTTTGTTGTTTTATTATGCCAACTCTTAAATGCAAATTTTAATAAGAGAAAACAACATAGTTCAATATAGGCATATTGCAGATATTATACATAGGCCACTTATAATGTACATTCTATACATCCTAAAAGAAGATAACTAACTCTCTGTTCATTATACTATGTTTGTTTTGTTCTGTTTTGTATATGTATAACTGTGATGATTTTGGACACTGTTCTGTATGCTCCACTGTGGGCCCAAATTGGTTGAATATTCTAGTATTTACTATGTAAAAAACCCCACCCCCTGTTGATACGTCCCTGTAATTAATAATATGTCTGCTGATAGATTGACTGCTTTCCAACCCAGTTTCAAGAAAAGTTCTAAAATATTAAAAAAAACAAACAAACAAAACTAGAGGTTCTGTGAGTAATGAGCTCACTAAATGATATCCCCATGCGTTGCTTATTGTTTTACGGTAATGTGTAAAGAGGAATAACTCGTCCTATCAAATGATATCCAGAAGCTAGAAGCTAAAACGAGCCACTTTCTGATTTAGGCCCAGATTTCTTGAATGGCGTTTTTATATAGTACGATTGATATTAACCAATCATCATAGATTTGAATAACATCCATAATTTCCACGTTTGCAGGTGATAGTTCTTTTTTCAGCTATCAAAAAAAGATGTCGCCATATGATATCAACATGTCAGATCATTGAATGTGAGTTATTCTAAGTCACCAGGAAGCGCATACAGTAATTTTTTTTTTTTGCAGATCAATTGAACAGTATGGACCTAACAAAAGAAATGGACAGACTACACAGAGACAGGGCCATTGGTCCACCACAACACAAGAAACAGGTTTGTCCTAATCTCTGTATACTCTGGAACAGAAATAACTTCATCCACTTTGAATGTTTATACATGTAATGCTGTTAGCAATTGTGATGATCAGAGATCACAGTGTTATGAGTCATTGACTTAATTCTTTCATGACTACTGCCAATCTGTATTTAGTCTTTCCATGCTTTCCAGGTGTCTGACTTGTACACGGAGATCCAGATCATATTCTTAGCTGACTTAGAAGTAGCAGCCTCTTCTGTCTGGTCACACAACAGCCCCTGGAGAAAGCCGACACCTTGAGGCTGATTCAGCACCTAAGGGTAGACAACTCTGAGTGCAGATGACACCCTGGACCCCGTGAGTCTGTGTCTGTTAATGGCCCTCCTGTATACTGTTTTGATGTCAGTCTGTTGGAACATGAAGATGGAAGACAGGTTAGTAATTTGATAATTTACTTTTCATATTTCACAAAGCACATTTGTAAGGAATGTTATATGTAATATCCATTAAGTTGAAGAATTGTGAAAATTTTAATTGTATAAACATAAAATTTCTGTGCTCTGATTTAGCAAGAGTTGATCTAATAAGAATGAATAGAAAGGTTAAAGTTGATGACCTTTGACATTTACTTAGGTCCTGCAGCATCTACCAATGATGACAGACTCGACCTACATACCTGACATACACCAGGATCTCATGTCTAAGCGAGTCTGGACCAACCCTGGACAGAAGAGCGTGGTGCTGCTGGCCGGGGGGGTGACCCTCAGACAACTCAACCAGTATCAGACCCCCTAAGATAAAATATCTAATCTTATCTAAAGAGGGAACCCCCACGCTCCCCAGGAACAGTATAATATTAAATACATAAATTCTTTATGGTATCAATCTTAGAGTTGATGAGAATATGTGACATGTCGGTGCATGTAAGTCAATGATGATAGATCGTGAATAAATTTAATATGGCCAGACAAGATAATTATGATGCTCTAAGCAGAAAATAAACTGGAAACTCATTTTGGGCCTTGATTGATAGCTGTAAGATTATTCACTCTAACTTGATCTCCATGAATTTGATTTATATTTCTAGCAGGGAATGGAATTTCTGAAGAAGATGATTCAGGTAAATGTCATTAACGAACCCTGCATTGGAAGCTAACATGATCCACTTCCTCTAACTGCATGGCCATTGCACCGGTACATGATTTCCATAAAGAGGTTGGTCTTTTAATTGATGCATATTTCAAGTTGACATCAAAATTTAATTTAGTTAATTTTAATTTAAGCAATGCAAACAAGAATTTGTTTGACAAATCATTATTATAGTTTAACTCTTCAGAATGGATTCTTAATAACACTATTAACAGCTAGGGTAGGGACTGTTATTCATATTATAATAAACCAGCATAACATTTGAGTTTTTTTGTCTTGTAGGAATATTATCTAAAGAAAGTCCATGGGCTGGTAACAGACTTCATTTTTCACATGCCATTGAAGGTACTTATGTAATACCTAAACAAATTGTTAATGCATTTGATCACTGTGAAAAAGGTGCCAATTTTGCATGGCTATATAACTTTATTTGAAATGAAAATATTCAACATCTCAGAAAGGTTATTATTGTAATATTGATTAATGTAAAAGATTTTGAAAAAAATATTCTTCGTGTAATATTTAAGAGAGAAAATGTTTAGAAAGTGACAAAAATATACATAATTGAAAAGTTTTGCAGGAAACTTTATTGTGGATGTTTTACAGGTGAAAGAGCTTCATACAAGAGGAGATGAGGCGTCGAGAATTGCGGTATCCCAGAGTTCCCTAGAACCTCCCACGTCACCCAGTCATGGCTTCGATCCGTACCTACTGAGACTGGTGCGTAACTGTCGCTTGTGTTAACTGCTTATATCAACATGATTAAGGTTTACTGACCCTCTGACAAGAGAGATAACTCCCACGTCACCCAGTCACAGCTTCCAGTACCTACTGAAACTGGTACGTAACTGTCGCTAGTGTTAACTGCTTATATCAACATGATTAAGGTTTACTGACCCTCTGACAAGAGAGATAACTCCCAGATCACCCAGGCACGTCTTCCAGTACCTACTTTGACTTGTACGTAACTGTCGCTAGTGTTTATTACTATCTTATATTATTATGTATCTAGGGTGGGGGGGGATGGGTACATAATAGCCACTTAAGTGTTTACTGCTTATATCAATGTATCTTGGGTAGGGGGATTGGTTCGTAACTGTCCCTAGTGTTTACTGCTTATATCAACATAAGTAAAGCTTATTAACCTTCTGACAAGAGGGATAACTTTTGCTGCAATGTATAAAAATAGTTCCCTTTAGAAATAGTTCATGAGGCAATTTTTTTAGAATTTTGAAATTTAAATTCAAAATTGATTATATTGTTAACATTTCAATTTTATCTTACATTTCTTATGCAAAATCATCATGAAATCTATTATCTACATGTATATTAGTGATCTGTGCTGTGTTAAATCATTAAAATTTATTTTTGGTTGTAAAACATCTTTTGATTGGATGAAATATTTAGTTTATATGTATAAGTTAAGTTGCCCATATAGCAATGAGCTAGTACATCAAAAATGTTTAAATCAGCCTGAAGTTACTTTAAAAGTATGCTCAATTTGAAGCCATTTTTGAAGGAAAACTTCTAAAGTTTGGTAAAGCGTTAACTGCCCAAATTTATGTAACATTGTATAACATAAGTTGAAATAAACTTCATTTCTCAAATATCAAAATCTTACTATCAAGTGGTTTTACATTACAGGTGTTGCTGTATAAGTAATACTTTAAGTATTAAGTAATACTTTAATATCCAAGATAGAATCTATCACTTTTGATAACTCAGAATAAAGACATTCTGTATAGGGTTTGTACATGTATTATAAACTGTATTCAGTAATGAATAATTTTGATTTCCTGAAACAAAAGGAAGTAAAAGACACTTTTTGAAGCTAATCAAAAGTTGAAGCCTGCATAAAGTGCATTTTACAACTCAACACACAAAACTTTGACTTGTGTTACAGAATGGGAACCAGCAGTGGCAGGTGGCGGTGGTGTTGTTTGGTCTGGTAACCTGTAGTATCCCCTTCGACCGTATAGCTGAGATCTTCAGGGTGCTGGCAGCGTTCGCTAAGACGCCGGACGTGGCAGCCAGCCTGTGGCATACACTGGAAGCCTCACAGGTAACCACTGAAATACTGGGGCCCAATTTACAAAAGGACTTACGACTTAAGACAAAGTTTAATTATTCATATAACTTTTAATTAACATTTTATCGAAAATTATTTTAAACTTTTTAAATAGAATGTGGTAACTTAGATATTTTTATACAGACAATTTCAAAGAGAAATATTAATTTTGCAAAATTTTACAATAATCTCAAGTTTTTGGTCTTAGTCGTAAGTTCTCTTGTAAAACGGGTCCCTGCTCTTTACTTTATCTTAACTGATATTCATTGTGTTTTTGCATTGACATGCACCTTTCCTCTTGCCTTCCCTATATTGTACTTTACAACATGTATGTGGGTTTACTGGATTGATCTGTTTACTTTGCTTTAAAGATTCTCAATACAGTCAGTTCAGAGCAGCAGTTCCTCTCAGAGAGGAATCCAGGTAAATGTTTGTTTTCTCAGGTTCAACTTTGTTCTTTTTTTTCTCTTACACCCTAAGGAGAGCAGAACTTAGATTTGCTGTACACTGGACATTCAGGTATCTGGACACCAGATATCCGGATGCTTCAGTATCCGGACGATTACATCGGAACAGATTTTAATACACCCGTCTTAAGACAGGACGTATTATGATATAGGCTTCATGTCCGTCCGTCTGTCGAGCTGTTCGTCTGTCCATTTGTGTCCGGCTCATAACTTCAATACTATTAGGCCCAGGATTATCAAACTTTGTCAACTTATACTTCTTGGGTAAATGGCTATCAAACTTGGCAAAAGTATACATCTTAGGTAGAAGGTGTGTCGCGATTTATTTCAAAGTCACTGTGACCTTTAGTGAAATTTGTTTAACTGGTAATTCAGATATCCGGACACTTCACATATGTGGACAAATTGACTAGGAACCAAAACGTCCGGTGACATAACACTCCAGGGCTTTCCTGTCACCTCAGGGCAAATATTCTGGTATGTCACCCTCGAAGCCATGTGATATATGTATAATATATGCAAATCTCATGCTTTTAAGAGTTATCTACCTTTTAAGAGTTATCTACCTTTGATGTCTGTTTTTTCCCTGTAGGTGGAGCTGGAGGAGGTGGAGACCCGAGCGGAGGTATTTCCCAAGACGCTAGCTTCCTGTCCTTTCTGGACTCCCTCACTGACATTCCTGTCCCCCAGGGCATCCCCAGGATTTCAACCCTACCTAGAGTTTGTCAAGGATCATGTGTTTGAGAAGTTTTACGTCAGAAGTTACAAGAATACATCAGAAAAGGTTTGATATAAGACTTTCTAAAATGTTTTTTCAATCTTGTTGATAAATACATACACTGTTAAGTACTACAAAGTACAATCAAGTAAAAAAAAAAATTACATATGAAAATGAACAATACACAGACAAAAAAGGTACAGTGTAGAAAGAGATTGAAACAATAAAAAATTTTTTATTAGCTCTACTGGTCACAGACCAGAAAAGCTTATACGATAGTACATGTATTGGTCTTTCGTCTAGCTGTCTGTCTGTCGGTAAACAATTTTTAAAACGCTACTCCTCCTACAGTTTTGGTCTGATTTTGATATAACTTGGCATACAAGTAAACTACACTTGGATACATAAAATAAAGCATCATGGTTTTTTATTTCGATGAACAGTGTTGCCATTGTTACTAAAAATGGAAACGTCTTTTGTTATATCCTTTGTTATAAGTACAAACCAGTAGAGCTTCAGTTTTGACAGAGACTTCTAGTTTTAAAATTTTATCTGTCATTTGCATTGATATTAATTGAAATGTGGTTATTGTGTGTGATTTATTTCCAAAGGTAATTAAGTTGCTAGTGACTGTTTAAGAATCCCATGTATACAACTGCAGGATTGATTTCTTTCAAGTAAATGTAAAGCTTTATTTACAGTGGGAGGTGGCCAGTGACTGTCTGAGGATCCTATGTAAGCTCCTGAGGGAGTATGAGGTGGTGGGAAGTGACTTTGGGGAGGAGCTTGTTGAGGTACAGATGGGGGGCGTGGTGCCCGCTAACAAGTCCCCGGGGTACATCCTAATGCTACACCTACTGAAGGACTCCCACTTCCTGTCCACGGTGAGATTCACAGATTTTCCTGCTTAAATGGATACTTTATTGAGAATTTTTTTTAAATTGGGCTGGGAGGTGGAGACGTATGTGCTTTGTTTTGTTAAGAATTAAAGTTACATATTTTAGGTGTTGAAAATACTGGATGACATTGTCCGACAACTTGAAACATACAAGGCTATACCAGGTAAATAGTGAATAAAGAAATTTAGGTGTTTTTATTTGTGTTGTAAAGTGACTGTTTAAATTTGTTTGGTTGATTGAACTGGCTACTGTTAAATAGGTTAATTTGATTGGTTGGATGCATGGACTAGATAATGTTATGTGAGGTAATTTGATTGGTTGATATTACTGGCCAATGCTAGGGGAGTAGGAGAGTTAATTTGATTGGTTGATTGTATTGACTGATGCTAAGAGAGTTAATTTGATTGGTTGATTGTATTGACTGATGCTAAGAGAGTTAATGTGATTGGTTGATCTGTACAGGACAGGAAACCCTGGAATCTGCTTGTCTGCTGTTGATAGAGACGAGTCTGGAGAAGAGAGGACGTTCCTGGACGCGTGTCGTGAGACGGGATTTAACATTTAATTAGAGTTAATGTGATTGGTTGATCTATACAGGACAGGAGGCCCTGGAGTCAGCCAGTTTGCTGTGTTTACAGCTGATAGAGACCAGTCTGGAGAAGTCGGGGACGTTCCAGGACGCGTGTCGTGAGACGGGAGCCTCCGCCATGGTGTCAGCCATGGATTGTCTTCTCCTGAGTACTAATCCACGCAGCGGGAAAGCTGACCACCTCATTAATGTCACAATGTAGGTCTATAAAAGTAACAAAAATAACAAGCAAAACATTTATTTTATTTGAATAATATGAAAGTTTTATTGCTTTTAGTCATTGAAGTCTTATAAAAGATAGAAAGTTGTAAGAAACATTAATTTTATCATCCTATATTGTGTGATCATGGTCACCATTGGTGTTTTATAATCTTGTAGGTTTATACAGTTCAGCATTCCTCTTCCTGAGCATGCCCAGTCAGCGATGAAGATCCTGTATTGCGTGTGTCACTTGGCTCCCATCCTAGTGGCCCTTGTCAATCTGTTTACATTAAATCAGGTAACAGTATAATTTGATTAAGACACCAAGATGAACATTTTTTAAAGCTCTGAATTCTCCTTGAACTGAGAATTATTTCCAGTCTGGTTGACACTGAAAAAGATGCTACATAATACATTATTATACCTCTACTGTAATTACTCATAGATATAAAACTTATATACCATAAAACTGCCTATTTCCCCGAGAAGAGAATTTTTCACTCATCCGAGGACTACTCCCTGGAAAATCAGAGCTACTCCCTGGGACTACTCCCTCATGAATATTTATTAGTTATTTTAACCAATCAAAGTGTTCAGTGGGTGGAGTGTTCCAAGAAATCTCGAATGTCTGTGACGTCATGTTACAGTATCAGCAATGTAACTATGACGTCAAAACATTTCGACATGCGATGTCAAAATCATACTTGAATTCTACCAAATGAAGATAAAGTTATATCTTCGAAATGTCAGTGAAAATACTTTTAAAAAATAATTTAATTGTTTTAGGACACGATTCATTACTTATCATACAATCTGTTTAACCGC